GAGCGCCGCCGACTGGCACGCCGCGTAGGCCTGCAGCCCCTGCAAGGGACACGCTCCCGGTGCGTCCCCAGCGCGGGCGGGCGGGGCTCCCGGCGCGTCCCCGGCGCGGGCGGGGCGGGCGGGGCTCCCGGTGCGCCCCGGGAGGCCCGGCGTCGCCTGCGCGCCGTGACCGCGCCGCGTGTGCCTTGCAGGGGCTGCAGGCCTACGCGGCGTGCCAGTCGGCGGCGCTCATGAAGGGGGTCGGCGCGTTCGTCGCAGGTGAGCCCGGGCCGCGGCGGCTGGGGCGGGGCGGGCGGGTGCGCGGCCGGTTGCACCTGCGCTGCTCGGCTCGCCGCTAAATGCAGCAGGTGCTCCGCGCCCTTCCCGCAGCGCGCTGGGTGCGGCGCGCTGGGCGTTAGGCGCAGGTCCTTCTTCCGCCCGAGCAGGACTGCGCCCTGGAAGTGGGGTGCCAGCTGCCGGCAGGGGGCTGCTGCGTCTCGCCCGCCGGGGAGGGGCTTGGGGGGCCCGGGGCTGACCCGGCTCTCCGCGTCCGAACAGGCTCGGGGGCGGCCTTCGCTCTTCAGAAGCTCAGCCGGAAGACGCCGTGGGCCCTGCAGTGGACCGTGTTGCTCTCCTTCGGTGGGTATCAAGAAGGTGTGCGGCCCCCCAAGGCCCGGGTGAGCTGGCAGCAAAGCGGGGCGCTGCCTCTTGCACCGTCCGGGTCCTTCCGTGGGGGTCCAGGCGGCCCGGCACACTCAGCTGTGGGCCGTAAGCAACCCCCCCCCCCCCGCCAGCCCCACAGCAGAGTGAGGGCCTGCACCGCTCTCCACCCCCGGGTTCCTTCGGCAGTGACTTTTCTCCTGGGGGGGGTAGGTGTTGCTTTGGGCGGGGAGCTCGGAGAGTTTGGGACAAGCCTCATGGAAAGGTCGGGGGGGGGGTCTCCCAAGGTGCACAGCTCTGCGTCTGACCAGCCTCCAGGAGGGCGGTGTGAATTCTCTCAAATCTGGGGAGCATTTACTCTGCAACGTGTGGACTTTGGCGTTTGATATTTCTGGTTCAGAACCAGCTGGAGGCATTTGGCTGCCTCCCTGAGAAGCCACTCGGGTGCTGGAATGAAGACCGGGCGGTGGGCTACTTTGGGTGGTGTCATCCCCTCTCTGCCCCCCCCCCCCCCGTGCTGTGTGTGTATCGGGATTGGCCATGGATTCTGAGAAAGCAAGTCAGCCCTATTTGCTCCTGCTTGGGAGGAATCCTGTGAGAGCTGGCCTGTTGCCAGATATCAACACAGCTGCCTAGATCTAAATGTGGGACACTTTAAAGGCAGGCTGGAAATCGCTTTAAGGTGCAGTCCTGCCCAGCGTAGACAGAAAGTGGGCCTCCAGTTCCTAGGATTCCCGAGCCGGCATGCATAGGATCGTGTCCTTGGATGGAGAAAGCCCTTGAGATCTTTCTGGCCCTCGTGCCAAATCTTTCTGTGGGTGTCACCAACATCGCTCCCGGGGGGCGGGGGGGTTTGCAGTTGCAGGCTCGGTGGCCAGCTATACGGTGACCCAGCGGGAGAGCCGGAATTGCTGTGCCTTATGGATGTTTCTGGAGAATAAAGAGCCCCTGCGAGACCCAGCCCAAGGTGAGCGAACGGGCCGTCCTGCTGACGAAGGCGGTGGGTGCCAGTGTCTTTCTGGACGGGGCAAGGCGAGCCGGAGATGCACGGACAGCCGGACTGTCAGAAATGGAGTGGGATTTACTCCCATGCCTGCATTCCCAGACAAGTTTGGGATTGGGTCCCTCTGCAGTATTCTGCGCTTGCTCGATGGCAGGAGTCCGGTCGAGGCCTCCTTGTTTCTCGTTGCCCTCAGAACCTTTTTCGTGAATTACCCTTCACCCCCGATGTTGGGACTACAGCTCCCACAACCCCCAGCATTTCAGGTTGGCACATCATCCTGGCTGGCAGCTTAGGATCGCGAAATCGGTTGGCGATGTGTCTGCGCGCATTCTCGGGGTCATCGGCCTTTCTCGGACCGCGTGCCCCCGGTTCACCACCAAATCTCTCCTCTCTGCAGAGCAAGGACCCGACTCGGATCGCCAAGTGAAGGCCGAGGCAGCAGTGAAAAGGAACGTGTACGGAGACGTCGTGGAGTAGCTGCGGACCCCGCGGCTTGAACCCGGGCCCAGCTGGTGCCCCCTTTGCTCTGCCCGACCATCTGATGTGAGGCTGGCCAAGTCAGTCCGCCTGAATCCCGGGCTTGGGGAGGTGGAAGAAGTTCCATGGCCACAGTGATCACGGACCCCCCGGGCCTGGCAAAGCCCCCCCAGCGATCAGTGCGCTGCCAGATGGGGGGACCCTGTGCACGCCCCGCCTTTCCTCTCCCCACTTCATCCACAACTGATCCTGCGGAGTTTGCGGGGGAGAAGCGGGAGGTCCTGAGGGTGGAGGGGAGAAGGCGGTACCCCCTCTTGCTCTTGAGCACACCTCAGGGGCTGGCCTGGTTTGGGGGGCTGCGCCTCTCTCTCGGGGGCCTGGCCTGGTTTTGGGGAACCCTCTGTCTGTGGGGCAGCCCAATAAAGTGTTCCCGATCCCCCGTGGGGTACAACCAGCGGGCTGCTGTCTTGCTCGGGAGTGCCGTCGCCTCGGTGCTGCCAGGAGTCGGGTGCGGGGCGTTTGCGGGGGCTGGCGAAGGGTCAGGGCAAAGGAGCAGAAACCAGGCGTGGCTGCGCGCTCGGTCCTCATGGTGCGCGCGGCTTCCAGGCCCTGCGTTTGCCCCGGGCGGCCCTTGGCCTGTCTGCACTCGCGCGGCTGCACCCCTTGGCCTTCCACAAAGCGCGTGGCCGTTGATGATTTTGCGGAGCCGGTTGAGGGCGCAGGCAGCCCTAAATAGCTCCCATGGCCGGCCCGCCCGGGTCTAGTGCCCCTCCCGAAGGGGCAGGGGTGCTGAGCACACGCCAGAAGGGCCCCCGCCCTCCCTCCCTCCCTCCGGGGCCCCTGCGTGTCTTGCCGTGGGGTTGGCCCCTCTCGCCACCGGACGAGCTCAAGAATTCGTAAAGGCAGGGCCTGAGGAAAACCTTTTCCGGCACACCGGAGACGCTGCGGCTCAGCCAGGTGTGGGCACTGGTGCTTTATTGGCATGGCTGGCTTTAGCACGAGGAGAGCAAGGTCCCTTGCCACGGAAGGGGGAGCGGCGTGGAGCGTGGGGTGTTGTCGCTTTCGGTGATGATGGGGGGGCTTGGGGGAGGAAGGGGCGTGCGTGGCACTCTCCTCCCCTGCGGCCCCTCGAGTGGAGAGGATCCGGCGTGCCTCCCCGAGCGCTCCTCCGTGCTTCGGGCTCCCCGACACCCTCCGGGTCTGGAGGCGCAGCTTGTGTGCGTTGCGACAGCGGCAGGGCCTGCGTTCCCCACACAGCAAAGCACCGCGGGGGCCGGCCCCCCCCAGCCCACCTTTCTTCCCCCTTCCGTCGTTCCCGCTGTCGGCTCTGCCGTGCTCGCGGCCGCATCCGGGCACCACGAGGCCTCGCGCCGGCTCCGGCGGTCAGTTGGACAGCGGGCACCGCACTGCGGGGGGAAGCGGAGCGCAGTCATTCGGGGTGGGGGGACGGGCCGCGTGTCGGTCGCCTCTCCCCAAGCGACGGGGGGAGGCCGGGAAGCTCCCGGGGATCATGCAAACTGCCGCCTTTGTCTCGCACGCAGTGCACCGGGGGGGTGCTTAGTGCCAAAAAACGGGGCTCAGCCCCACGGGGCAAAAAAACCCAGAGTTGCCAGTGCCGGTTTACGGAAGTGTCTGTCAGCGATCCGTCTCCTAAGGGCACCCCACTTGTAAAATGGGGCATATGGACCGGAGAGAAGAAGGCAGTTCACTGTGGGAGTGGGGAAAGGGGGGGCTGTCAGGGGGGAAGCCTGTTCGGGAAAGAGGCACCCGATTCAGGGCCTTTGGTTCAGCAAGCGCTCTGGGGGGCGGGCGAGGGTCCTGTGCTCCAGGCCCCCGAAACTGGCTGCAGTGGGTGATGCGCTTCCAAATGGCCTGACCTGCTAGCTTTCCAGGTGCGGGGAGTGTCTTGGTTTGGGGAGCAGTCAGGCCTGTGGGCCCTCGCTTTGCACACTGGCGCGTGCCTTTGGTTTTCTTCTCTTGCGCTCGCTACCCAATTCCTCCTCCTCCTCCTGAGAAGCGAAGGACCAGCTGGACTAACCGTTTAGCTCTTGGGGCGCAATGTTGTTCTCGGAGAATCCCAGCGCCCGCACGTACTCCCTGAAGTCCTCCCTGACGCCGTCCGGGGCGTCTTTCCTCCGGGCTTCAGGCAGAAACAGGGAGCGGAGAGGGCGATGTCACTCAAAGTGCCCCACGTCTCCCCCTGCAGACCCCTTCGCCTCCGCCGGCTCCTGGGGGCTGTGCCCCATGGCTACCGCTTTCTTCCAGAGAGAAAAGTGGCCCCAGAGGAGCTCCGGAGCCGGGGGGCAAGCGTCCCCCCCAAAGACCACCCCCTCCGCCAGCCCGGACGTCTCCTGTCCCAAAACGGGTGTGAAGCGGGCCACGAGTGCCGCATCACGGCATGGCGCCACGGCCACCATCTGGGGTGGCTCTTGGGGGAGCCGTGGGGCTGGGGGCTGGGGGCAGCTCCCGGCCACGCCAGCTGCACTTCGCTGCCTGCATTGGAGACGGGAGCCTCTGCGCCGAATCTGCTGGGGAGCCAGGGCGGGGGCGTTCCTGCCCCCCCGTCCCTCCCATCGCAGCATGTGCTTGGCTACTGTGGGGAAGGAAGGGGGGGCTGGGCTGGGGGAGCCGGAGGGGCCTCGCTCGGCCCCCACGAGCAGATCTCCAGGGGGCCTTTCCCAGGCCTGCTCC